TATAGGCTCCTACAACGGCTCATTTTTCTGAGAGAGCTGCTCCAAGACCCTGAAGACTGCACAAACATTGTTCACAGGATTTCAACGCCACGGATCAACCTGATTGTTGCGTCTTGACGATCCAGAATCGTGCCAGAACGCCACTTCTGGGATTCAACTCCGTGAATCAACATAACTTGTGCACCCTCATATGCCTGAATCCTTCAAAACACCATTTCTGGAACGTTGATCATGGGAACCCGTGAAACTTCTGCTACGTTTTAAAGCGAATGTGCGCGGCGACAAGGCGAGAGCCACATTTTGAAAAGGAGCCGCCCTCAATCCGACGAGTGTGCGCGGCGCTAAGGCAAGAGCCACATTTTGAAAAGGAACCGCCCTAAATCCGTGAAACCCTCGCAAATGTTCAAAACGAATGTGCGCGGCGCTAAGGCGAGAGCCACACGTTGAAAACCACTCGCCCTCAATCCGTGAAATTCTTGCAAATGTTTAAGACGAATGCGCGCGGCGCGAAGGCGAGAGCCACATCTTGAAAACCACTCGCCCTAAATCCATAAACTCTGCCAAATGTTCAAGACGAATGCGCGCGGCGCTCAGGCGAGAGCCACATTTTGAAAACGACCCGCCTTCAATGTGTGAAAATGCTGCGAATGCTTAAGCCTCAGAGTCATAAATTGTAAGGAAGTCGCAGGCGGAACGCCCGGCGCGCCTTAAAAACTGGCGTCGGGGTGCGACAGGGAGAAGTTATTTATAAGGAAAAGTAATGGACGAGGAGGAGAAGGCAACAGAGATCGGAGGGACAGGGCGTAGTGCGTGAGGGATGAGGGGGAAGGAGGAATCGAACCATCATTAGCCTGGCGAAGGACCTAACCAGATGCAGCTGTGAGTGCCGTAACTGGGTGTATCGTCTTCGGTGAAGCTCCCGATCGGGCGACGAAACATATGAGAGATGAGCCGAAGTGGGGGTGCAACTGCATGCGAACCCTGCAACTGCGGCCTTCGGTGGAGCTCCTTCATGGGGCCACGGACCGTGTGAGGGGTGCGCCGAAATGGGGTGTGGAACTGCTTGCGCACTTTCCCACTGTGGCCTGCGGGTGGGCTTCCTATGGGGCCACGAACCGTGTGAGGGGTGCGACTAAATGGAGGTGGAATTGCATGCGAACTCTCCAACTGGGGTCTTCAGTGGAGCACCCCACGGGGCCACGAAACGCGTGAGGGGTGCGCCGAAATGAGATGGAATTGAACGCAAGCTTTCCCACTGGAACCTGCGGTGGAGCTCCCTATGGGGCCACGAAGCGTGTGAGGAGTGTGCCAAAATGGGGGTGGAACCGCATGCGAACTTTGCCACTGGGGCCTTCGGTGGAGCTCTCTATGGGGCCACGAACCGTGTGAGGCGTGTGCTGGGGGCGGAACCGCATGTAAACTTTGCCTTTGTGGCCCTGTGTGGAGCTCCTTATGGGGCCACGAACCGTGTGAGGGGTGTGCCAAAATTAGTGCGTGGGACGCGTGTAAACCCCGCCACTGGGGCCTTCGGTGGAGCTCCTTATGGGGCCACGAAGCGCGTGAGGGGTGTGACGAAATGAGCCGCGGGGACGCATGTAAACCCTGCCACTGGGGCCTTCGGTGGAGCTCACTATGGGGCCACGAACCGTGTGAGGGGTGTGACGAAATGAGTCGCGGGGACGCATGTCAACCGTGCCATTGGGGCTTTCGGTGGAGGTCCCTATGGCGCCACGAGCCGTGTGAAGGGTGTGCCGAAATGCGTCGCGGGGACGCGAGAGGGACGCATGTAAACCCCGCCATTGGGGCCTTCAGTTGAGCTCCTTATGGGGCCACGAACCGTGTGAGGGGTGTGCCGAAATGAGTGCCTGGGACGCATGTGACGCACACCCTGGAGCCTTCGGTGGAGCTCCTTATGGGGCCACGAAGCGTGTGGGAGATTTGCCGAAATGGTGGGCATGCGGAGAGCAGAGGCAGAGATGGGAGGCGGGAGGGGGCAGCGGGAATGAGTGAGGTGACGCGAGACGCTGTCTCTTCAAGACGAGGACCCCACACCACAGGATGGTTGGGAAAAAAGCGGAAAGAGAACAGGTGGAGGGCAGTGGGTATCAGGAGGAGTGGAAATGCGATGGTTTGAGGCATGAGGGGGAGAGGCGAGAGAAACGGACAGGGGGGGGGGGAGGGGGGGAGATAGGGGCGAAGCGGGATGGGGGTGGCAGCTGGCCAGGCATCCGCTCCCTTTCCTCTGCTTCCGATTTGGCTGCCGACGGGCCAGCTGGAGGCAGACGGGGAGCAACCTGAAAAGCCCCCCTGAGAGGCTTTTGCAAAAGGCTTCCAGACGCTGCTGGTGGGATTTTGAAGGGCTTTCGAAAGTTGTCTTAAACAGATTCCTGGTGAGGAGGAAGAGGGCCCCCTGCATCTGCATGCGTACGCGGCGCAATCCGGCAGAGCAGGAGGACGCCCCACCCCCCACCATAATCCAACTGCAATTCAAAATGGGATGGACATGTTGTGTATCTGGGATCTGGTGTCTTCATACAGAAAAAAGACCATTGGATGTCATTCGAAATCGACGTGTAATGCTATGCATTTGGGATAGGTTGCATTATGCGTTGAGGTTCAACCGAAACTTAGTTAGCATAACATCGAAACGCTATGGCTATGGGGGTCGGCTGTTTAAACCAATGCCCATTGGACTCTAATTGGAATTGCACGTAGATGCTTTGGATATGGGTTTTGATACATTATGGTTGAAACTCAGTGCACATGTATCGAGGATGTTGGGTCTGTGATATCTGGTAATTCAATTGAAAAGCCATTGGCATGTGATTGAAACGTACCTTAGATGCCTTGGAACTGGGAAATGATGCAATTTAATTTAAGTCCAGCTGGGGTTCAATCAAACTGTATTTGCAACACTTGTTCCATACGTTAACCAACTGGACAAAAACAATATAACAACAGCACGTGCGAAACCGCAACACCCAAACCCAATCCCTTTCCGTCCATATGTGCTACGCCACCGGATTATTTTCAATATTCGTATAGTCTTGTGACATGTCGATGTAGAGGTATACGTAGAAGTAGAAGCCGAAGTAGAAGTAGACGCACAAGTGGACGTATCAGTAAAAACATTTATAGAACAGTGTAGTATTGGTAGTAGTCGCCGTCGTGGTGGTAGTAGTGTTAACAGTAGTGGCAGTAGTTGTAATACTAGTCGTCGTAGTAGTAGCATCAGTAGCAGACGTAGAAGTACATCTTGAAGTACAAGTAGTAGTATTAGTGGTAGTAGAGTAGTTGTAGCCGTAGTCGTACTCGCAGTCGTAGTCGTAGTCGTGGTCGCAGTAGTCGTAGAAGCAGACGTACTAGTACTAGCATAATGCACAGGGAAATAGTTGGTGGCAGTAGGTCGGCGCATGTGCATGTAGAGGTTGACTGTATGCAGTCGCATGATTTCTGCAACCAGTAGCACCAGCATCAGCAGCAACACTCGCACTACCAGAAGTAGCCGTCATTTGTGTATGCATGTAGACACGTTACGATCTAGATATGAGGGTGGTTGTGGATATGGTGCGTGTACAGATGTGTACGTGGGCGGGCAGCCTGTATTAGTATCAAGCGTGGCCGCCGTAGCTGCAGGAGTGCCGACAAGTGTGGGTAGCCGAGGCAGACGTCGCAGCATAGGTAAAACTGGCAACGGTGGGATGCCGCATTGTTAGACGTAGGTTACGTAATCGCGGCCGTAGTCGCAATTTCTGCAGCAGTAAGCGCCCTAGCTCGCACTTCGCATCTTGCATCTAGCAGGCTGCAACTACCAGCTAGACGCCTACGGCGAGTCACCTCTGCCCCCCTGCCTTGTGGTGAACAACTGTGCCGTGAAATGTCAAACGAAAGCGCGGCCGCGCTAGTCGATTGCAAGGTCCCCCAGTCATTGGGAAAACCACTTGGGGGAACACTGAGGAGGTACCGTCTTGGCGATGTCTTGGGGCGCTTGTATGTTGGACCTCCTGGGACCCGGTCGGGCCATCTTGGGGCTATCTTGGGTCGTTTTAGGGCGATCTTGAGCTGTCTAGCGACTTCATAGACCATCTTGGGGGCTTCTATGGTCGGTCTTGGGGCCGTCTTGGGGCCCTCTAGAGCCATATTGGGGCCCTTTTGGGCCGTCTTGGGACCCTCTTGGATTGTCTTGGGGCATTTTCGGACCGTGGCGATCTTGAGGGGCCTCTTGGGTTGTCTTGGAAGCCCTTGCCACCGAAAAGGCAAGAAACAGAGAGTGATCGAAACTCGCAGGACAAACAAATTATCTGCGACTCTTGAAATCCACCTGGGGGGCCTCCAGGGGTCTTACTGGGTCATCTTGGTGGCCTCCTGGACCATCTTGAAGCTTTTGGGGGATCGGCTTGGCCTAAGATTTGAGCCTATTTGGAGGCCGCTGCGGACATCTTGAGCGGACCTGATGCCGAAAAATGCACGTAGGAGACCCCATTGGAGCCACCTCGGCCAGGAAGCCGAGGGGAGATACCTCCACGGGGCAAGCAGGTTGCACCGAAGGCTACTCCGAGTTTCTTAGTAAGCGTCGGGGGGGGCGTCACCCCCGCCGACAGCCCCACATCGACCCCCGTCGCGGGCAGCCACCGCGCGCCAAAGGCGTTCCGACCCCCGTCGCGGCGCGACGACGAGGCGAGGTTGACCCCCGTCGGGGGGGGTACCGCCCCACGCTTATTAAGAAACCCAGAGTACTGGGAACCTTCTGGAAGGGCCAGAAAGCTCTAGAACCCTCTGCACGCCAAGCACCCCCTGTGGTAGGCACAGGGGGGCGGCGGATCTGCTGACGTGCTGCCCGCCTAGGTCGCGTACAAGAGGCCTCTTAGATTTCTCATGGGCTTCTCTGGGAGCCTCCTGCGAGCCTCCTGGTGATGGACAGGGAAGCGGCAGGAGGAGAAGGAACACGAGGCGGACGAGATCGAATCTGGGCGCGTGTCTTGGAGACTCATGCTTCTCAGACTGGTGGCGCCGGAGGAGCAAGAAGCCGGAAGGGAAGAGGCATCGACTTCCACCAAGCAGGCCGCCGTTTTGCTCTGCCCTCATCTCCAAAGCTGGAAATTGCACATCCAGTCCGACCAAGGTATCAGATCGAGGTCGGTCCGGGGAGGGCACTCAAGTGTTTTCCGTGTTTGTTGGACGTTTTTTTGCATTTTGGGGAGGGTACCCTTGGATGTTCTGGTTGTTTTGGCCGACGGAGGGTCTCATGTTCTTGAGGGATGTTCTTCTGGTCTAGGTCCGACTGTAACCTCTGCGCGCCCATCTCGCGATTCATACCAGCTCTCCTCGTCCACCCTCGGCCAAGAAGAAGCCCGCACGACCGCCATCGTGCGCGAACTGAAGCAGTGTCGCCCACGCGGGCTCTCCAGCGATGCCAGGAAATGCAGCGTGACCTCTGCACATTCGCCTCCCGGCTCGGGCCACTCTTCCTCCCCTCCTCGTCCACCCTTCGTCGAGAGGGGCCCCGCAGGACAGCAGCCGTGCCAGCACCGCGGTCGTCTCTGCTCGGTCAGGCTCTGGCGACGAGTGGCGCCTCCATGCTCCCTCCCCTTCTACGATTACTCAATATGAATACTACTCTCCCTCTTCCCCTGATGGCGTGCTGGGAATATTCGACCCCCCCCCCCGCGTACTGTTTTTTACACACGGGATTCCCGGGAGTTGGGTTTTCGCTTGCGTTTTTTTCAAAATGCTGCTCTCGCTGAGGCGCCGGCCTCATTTCTGCTCCCGAATCGTTCCGAATCGTGCTCCCGCTGCAGCGTGGGCCTCATTTTCGGATCGGTGTTTGGCCTCCGTCGTTCAGGATGGCGTTCTCGCCCCAGCGCGGGCCTCTTTCTCGCGCGCCCATCCGCCCGCCACCACCGCGCCGCACCACGCCCCGCCCCGCCGCACGCACACCCACCGCCACGTCCACCCACCAACGCACGCACGCACGCACGCGCACCACCACCGCGCACCGCCACTACCACCGCACTACCCCACCCACCACCACCACGCTACACCGCCTCACACCACATCACACGCGCGCACACACAGACACACACGCACGCACGCACGCACGCACGCACGCACACACACACACACACACACACACACACACACACACACACACACACACACACACACAGACACACACAGACACACACACACACGCACACACACACACCACACCACACCACCACCACCACCACCACCACCACCACCGCCATCACGCACGTACGCACCTGGCCCACCACCAAACCACCAAGACGCCACACCACGTCACACCACAGCACACGCGCACACACGCACACACACACACACATACACACCACCACCACAACCACCACACACGCACGCACGCACGCACGCGCACCACCACCCACTACGCACACGCGCGCGGAGCCACAGGTCCGCTACGACACGCGTCCGCGGATAGAGAAAATCAGCGCCATGGTAAGGGATGGGAGGGAGGGGTAGGATGTCAGATGTTGACGCGAGCGCACCTGACTTGCCTCCTCCCCCTCCTGCGCCTCCCCCCTCCTCTTCCTCGTCTTCCTCCTCCTTGTCAGATCTTGTCAGGGCTGGGGTCCTCCACCGCGGTCGCGACGTCTTCGCTCTGTCTGCAGTCCTGCAGTCCTTCTGCCTCGAGCTTTCGCCGTTCCTGGCCCACCTGACCTACTTTCGGGCCTGCCGTGGCGCTGGGCGGGATGATTGCCTCGGGGGCAGATTTGCGAGCGCCTCGGGGAGCTGAAGGCACGTGCGCACGCATTCGACATGGTGATCTGCCAATGGCCTTACCCTCACGAGTCGGAATGCAGTGGTATGCGACTCCAGGTGGGCTGTTAGTCGCCTCCAGCTCAGCCTTCGCAAGTGCGTGTTCGCTCTGCCCTGGGAGTTCTGCTCGGCGGATGTGAGCCGCCACGCCCTGCAACACTTGGCGGGCGGCGGTGCCAGCTTGGGGCGAGATGCAGATTCCCAGCGTGGCTTGGTCTCGACCAGTACTCGCTACACACGCGCAGTGGTGCCGTTGCCCTTGATATGTTCTGTGCTGCTGGCGCGGGGCCAGAAGAATGGCGCGTGGCTCTGCCAGGAGCCTCCCTGTGCCGACAGTGGAGCACACGTGCTGCGAAGCGGGCGGAACGTTCGTTGCACACGCGCAGTGGTGCCATTGCCCTCGAGATGTTCTGTGCTGCTGGCGCTGGGCCAGAAGACTGGCGCGTGGCTCTGCCAAGGAGCCTCCCCGTGGCGACGGTGGAGCACACGTGCGGCGAAGCGGGCGGCACGTGCGCGCGGTCCTGGCCGCGGTGGCCAGAGGTCGCGGGTCGCGGTCCAGGGCGCCAACGGGTTGGCGGGCTCGACGCGGATACCCAGCCAAACTTTTTTGATCCGCGGGTCGAGAGCGAGCCTCTTCCGGTCGAAGCTAAGCGGGCCGTTCACAGCTTTAATTGACAGAGGGGGGAAGGCAGAAGGAGGGGCCTCACGTCAAGGCCAAGAGACCGCAAAGCCCCGGAATCAGGCGGTGCCGAAGGCGAAGTGCATGCAAAGGAACGCCTTGTACAGGAACCCGGAGGCGAAGTACCGGAAAAGCTGAATGCTGTGATGGTGGTGCCGTCATACCCAGCCAAACAGGGTGATCAGATAAGAATGAGTCGTTCTCCGTGGGAAGACTTCGACCCTTGCATATTCGGCCGATCCTTAGGCACTATCGCTGGCCGCTGTCGCTCAAAAGGATTCGGCCTGGATGCCCAAGAGCTTTGTATCCTTATCGCACGTCCTTATGAACCCGCCGAGGTGTGCTCGTTTCCGGCTATCCCCCTTACCTGACCGATTGTTGAACAAGAATTTGGATGTACTACACGTTGTGGTGGGGATTCCACAGGAAGCCGTCACCAAGTGCCCCCCTCCCTCTCCTCGCACGCGTGGGGCGACCTCACGGCGCCGACCTCGTTGCGGGCGGCCGGACTGGCTGCGAGGGTGCGCCTTGGAGCCAAGATGAGTTCGGGCGCGCTGGCCGAGCTGCAGGAGTGGAGAGGCATTACCCTCCAGGCCTCCCAGACGGGGTCGAAGTAGATGGGCCCGGCGGATCGCGCCGTATCGCCGCACCGCCAACGCACCAGCGCTGCGGCTCGAGGTGGAGCCCGACTTTCCCCTCGCCGACGTCGCCGATGCATCGGCGACGCGGCGCGATCCTCCGACCCCACACCAAGGAGGTCTCGTCAAAAATATCTAGAAATCGAAGTTGGAATATTTGATCACGATGCTTTCGGGCATTTGTCAGAAAAAAACGCTCGTCAATGCTGAGGGGGTGGGGCCGGTTTTTGGACAACACCGCGCCCGAGCAAACGGGCATCCGTCAGCATCGGAGCAGCGCTGACCCCACAGTCACCGCACTCAGATGCCTTCTGTTTATTTTTGACGAGGCTGGCAGGAGACGCCCACACCTGCGAGGCCTCCTCTGCGCATGCCAGAGATCGGGGCTGGCTCGCGCCGCCGTGGCAGGGGGCGCACGGCCGCGGCTCGGCTTGTGACGAGGCTGGCAGGAGGCCCCCACACCTGGGAGGCCCCCTCTGCGTATGTCAAGGGTCAGGGCTGGCTCACGCCGCCGTGGCAGGGGGGCACACGGCCGCGGCTCGGCAGCGCGTTCCCGGAGGAGGCGGCGGGGCCGTGCGCCGGGCGGCGCGGCGCAGTACCGGCAGGGGGCAGAACGCAGGGCGCGCCCCGCGGACGCCTCGGCGCCACGCTCGGGGGCGGCCAAGAGGGGCGCGGAGGAGGGAGGAGGAGGAGGAGGAGGAGGAGGAGGAGGAGGAGGAGGAGGAGGAGGAGGAGGAGGAGGAGGAGGAGGAGGAGGAGGAGGAGGAGGAGGAGGAGGAGGAGGAGCAGGAGGAGGAGGAGGAGGCGGAGGCGGAGGAGGAGGAGGAAGAGGAAGGGGATGACTGGGGGGGGCATATCATGGCGGGGATCATGATATCTACCCACATTTCATGGCGCCTCTTTTTATTTCATTACGTCCCTGGCCCCCCCCTGGGCTGCGCACATGCCGCCGGCCATGATTTGCGCCCCCCCTCTTGGCCGACCCCGACACGCGATGGAGTGGAAGACCCACCGAGCGCGTTGCACTACAGTCGGACTTGATTGGAGTGGACACGCGAGAGGACACAAGACCCTTCCGAAGGCCACATCGCCACAGGAGTGTAAGAAGGCACGTGTCGCGAGGCACGGGGCACAAGGGTGCCCTTGAGCTGGCAGGGTCGACCTAGAAATCAGGGCCGACTGTAGACGCAGAGTGCTTACTCGCAAACGTCTGAACAAAAACACAGGTTCGCCTCGATATAACGGATTGTAAATCCCTCGCGGCGGATCCAGGCCATTTGCGAGTGGTTCTTGTGCGAGTAGTGGAGGGCGCTTGTCTAAAGACTGAGTTTGAGGAGGAATTGAGTCGGCCTGGGAGAGCGAAGTCTACCGGCTTCTCGAGGTCCGACATCAGGGGCACAGGTGGCGTTACGTATCTAGACACATTCGGGGTGGACGCTTCTATAGACAGCGTGGCCGTTGCGTTCAGCGCAGTGCAAGGTCGGAGGAAGGGTAGATCCGCCTACGGTATGTTCCTGATCTGAAACAGGTCCCACATGGTACTCCAAGCGAGAGGGAACCGAATTTTGAAACTTGGGTTATTGCTCCAAGCCTCTGTGCGGCGTGAACTTGCACAGCGTCAACTCGCAGCGCTGTCTTGCTCGGGGCGACCTTCCCTGGGCCTGTCGGGGGCGGCTTCTGAGCTGGGGCCTGGAGGCTCCAACTAATCCCATGCGCTCGAGGCGCTGGAGGTTGTCGAGGTCTGCGCTCTCGACGCGCAGGGGGGTGGAGGGGAGGCGGGCGGTGGTGAAGGCCCTTTGCGGGGGCGTTGCCCAGTCTGGCACGACGGCGGCCCCCCAACCCACCCCAGTACTTCTGGGCAGGCGCTGCGCGCCCAGGGCGGCGCGCGCTGCTGTGGCTCGCGTGCGCTCGAACCAGAAAAAAGCCACATAAACATAAACTGTTGCCGC